TTTGCAATTGCTAGGTAGTTTTTGGTAGAATGTTGATACATAACTTTTACATTGAATTTCTATTGTTGGGGGGGGGGGGGAGGGGGGGGGGGGGCGGTCAGTTAATAATGGAATAAAGGGAATAACATATGAGCGTCACGTGTTATGAAATAATGGGGATTATGTCATCTGATCATGGTCATTATATGACGTCAACAAAATTAGGGTCCCTTGTCAACAAATTTTAATGGACCGTTATCATAACACTACATCAACTCTGGCCCACCTGCACAAAAGTTGGAGAGATTCTTTACATCACACACAAGGCTGGGTTTAGAAACATACTAGAACGGTGATTTGACCTAATGAGTAATTATTTACTGCTATATCGGTATCACTAATCGTGTAACGCTAATGCAGGTTATTTCATCGTTGAGATCTAGATATAATCGAATCAACAGAAACAGAATGATAAATCGATATTGCTTAATTCGTGAGGAATCGATTCCATCACGATACTTCTATATCCACTTCTGTCCATGACAAAGGAATATATTTTTAGAAGCATGACGGTATCGATTATATATGTGAAAATATTTAAATACTGCGGCCTTGAGCTTCGTAGGTATCGACCCCACGAACTGTTTCCACAAATAGCATGCGTGCCACTTAAATGGCATGTTGATGAAATGTACGATCATTTTTGGACAATGTAATGCATTACTTCACTCAAAACATCACAACCCTGATCTAAAACTGGACGCGGGGATAAATGGCGGAATTAATTATTCACTCTTCTCCAGGGGGTAATGCTTTTTCTAGAATCGTCATGGGGGAAAGAGACAGGAGGGTATTCAGATTTCTTGAATCTGGAGTGGGCGAGTTTGTGCAGAAAGCTATGGGTCGGTGCAACGGATGTGTGAGACAAAAAAATAGGATGAAAATTAGAAGCAAAGAAATACAACAACAAAATTCACGGGTACCCACACCGTTCTGATGAGTGGGTCCAAGGAAAAGCTAACAAACCTTGGAGTCTGGGACTTGCACCTTGAGAACCGCCACTCGGCCTTGACCCCGGTACGAGATAACGAGTTTAAAACAGACACACTTCCGGTATAAACAACTCCACATGCCTGTTTCCGGTGGGAATCGATTTTCATCCTCTTAGCGCATGCTCGAATACATCACAGGAATAACGGGATTTCATGCCCGTACTTAAGTTGGGTTTTATTTTTTTATCTTCGAAAATACATCCATAATCCACATGTTAAGTTGTAAAGATAATCAAAAGTCGTTCATCAGCCGACAAGCCAATGGAAAATTGTTCTGTCTTCAACTCCTTACAATCTCCTTACTTAACTCCATGCATAGAACACAAGTAACACACAAAAGTGAATCCTTAGGGCTCTAACAGACATCCGCCCAGAGAGTAGTTCACTTGTGGTAAGTCTAGAATATGCATTGGCCTGGTGCTAAATGACCTTCTCGTGATGTCATCTGATGTCATATTCTAAAATAGCCCATGATGTTTCGTACCCTCAAGTGACATTGTCATAACGTGTGATGTTGAGGTATATCCTCTTATGTGTTGTTATAGAATACATTTTGTAATGTTTAGTGATATACCGTGATGTTTAGGGATGTCATGTGATTTATGTGGTCTGATGTAAATGCAATCAACGCGGTAGTCTGCCATGTCTGTTGACTATGTCTTCCGCCTCTCTAAGTCTCCCTAGCAACACATCAACAACAAACAACTGGTGAAACTCGGCCCAGCAACAAGTAACAAATAACATCAGGGATGAATCATCCAAGGGGAGATAATAAAAAAAGCGATCGTTCAGGGGAGATAAGAAATAAAGAAATATTTGACCGTCTGATATCTAGTCTATCTGCCTGGGACGCGAGATTCTGGCGTGGTGACCTTGACCCCACACAGAATGAGATGATTATTAATCAGACGCATTCAGACAGACGACAGAGGAGAGTGTTTGTATTCAAGGAAAATAACCGCTTCCTCTGGGGTAAGAATGTCGGAATTTTGTCTGCAAGTCTCGAATTTTACAAGAGTTACCGCATGATTGTAAGAGGGTCCTAAATAAAGTCCAAATTAAAAACATATGAAGATTAAATTCAAGTGGAATTTCGTGGGATACAAAATTAGTGACTACAAAACGAACCAAACAAATATAGATATAAGTTTGTAACAAATGTAGGTTTTATTTTTAATTAAATTGAGCGTAACTTTCTAGAACTATAAAAGGCGATATTAAACCTCCTTGATTTATGCGCATGCGCTCTCCAGCACAGTCATGACAAAAAAACACGAGAAAGTTTGGAAGTTCTTTTCAAAGTTGATTGATGTGTAGAAAACAGCTGTACAGTTTGTGATTAATTTTTCAATTATGTTACACGTTTGTAAAAAAATAAAAGATTTGAAGTCGGTCATAATTAGAATAAAGTGTAACAGGCTTTAGTTAGGGGTTTAATGTGTCAGGCTTTTGTTAGGTTCTGAGCCCAACAATTATATGGCCAACGAATAGAACATACAACTTAGGATGTATTTGTCATGACATTGTAAAGCAACCAATGAAAACATGGATGGATTTTTTTTTCAGCCTGGCGATGTAGGAACACAGGTCTTTTATGGGAGGTTCAGGTTTATCGTGGAAAGTTGAGGTCTTTAGAGGAGGTTGATAGGTCTTTAGAGGAGGTTGATATGTCCATAGAGAGAGGTAGGAGAGGCCGGGGTCTACATGGGAGAAGTGTGAGGGCATTGGGTGAAATAAAGGAAAATTTCAGACAATGTGAGAGGAGAGCCTGTGAGGTCTTTGAACTGTAGGAAAATTCTAGACAATGAGTACAACCAAAGTTTGGAAGGGCTGACAGAATTTGAGATCGTGGTCATAGAATGGACATATGGTCAGTGTTTGATAAAATGGCCAACGTGAGGACAGTGGAAAACGTATGTCCCATGACGGGAGTACGTCCCTGTATGGGAGTACGTCCTGTATGGGAGTACGTGTAACAGTATGGGAGTACGTCCCTGTAATTTGAGTACGTCCCTGTATGGGAGTACGTCCCTGTATGGGAGTACGTCCCTGTATGGAGTACGTCCCTGTATGGAGTACGTCCCTGTAATTTGAGTACGTCCCTGTATGGAGTACGTCCTGTATGGGAGTACGTCCCTGTATGGGAGTACGTCCCTGTATGGAGTACGTCCCTGTAATTTGAGTACGTCCCTGTATGGGAGTACGTCCCTGTATGGAGTACGTCCCTGTATGGAGTACGTCCCTGTAATTTGAGTACGTCCCTGTATGGGAGTACGTCCTGTATGGGAGTACGTCCCTGTATGGGAGTACGTCCCTGTAATTTGAGTACGTCCCTGTATGGGAGTACGTCCCTGTATGGGAGTACGTCCCTGTATGGAGTACGTCCCTGTAATTTGAGTACGTCCCTGTATGGGAGTACGTCCCTGTATGGAGTACGTCCCTGTATGGAGTACGTCCCTGTAATTTGAGTACGTCCCTGTATGGGAGTACGTCCTGTATGGGAGTACGTCCCTGTATGGGAGTACGTCCCTGTAATTTGAGTACGTCCCTGTATGGGAGTACGTCCCTGTATGGGAGTACGTCCCTGTATGGAGTACGTCCCTGTATGGAGTACGTCCCTGTAATTTGAGTACGTCCCTGTATGGGAGTACGTCCCTGTAATTTGAGTACGTCCCTGTATGGGAGTACGTCCCTGTATGACGCTGTGTCGTCATGTAGAGGTCGACAGTGATGGAGTGCTTATGCCAGTCTAACAGTCAGTGACAGCTGGTGTTGTAACGAAGTTGACAGGTTGTGTTATAGCCCCGCAGATATTGCGTTCATTTTTAATTTGTTTGTGTAGCTGAACGAATGCTTCTGCGTTTCAGCATGACGCGATTAGACTGTACGATTTACTGCACGCCTGAGAATAATTCAATTGTTTTGCATGATTGATTTAATGGCGACAGGTGGTGGGATGACGCAATGCAGAGGGTGCCATCTTAATGACGTCAGTACAGGTAGTTACACTAGAATATTTAATGCGTAGTTTTTGAAATCGTAATAACATTATTTAATACGTCGTATTTTTAGGGTATAACATTATGTTCAACTTATTGGTTGTTATTATACTAGACTCGTCATATTTTCGCCATATATAATAAGATATCTTATAACATTGTAGATGTTACACCAAGTATGCACCCGCTGTGTAAATATCTGTAAGTCTAACGCCCTTTCATACAACAGGTTACATACTTCATACCTACACCCGCCAACTGCAAATATTCTGTTAGCAAACGAATTGATGAATGGGATCTTTAAAAACCTGACTGTGGGACAGTGGTTAGGGCACTTTTGAAAACCTGAACGTAGAATTAAGGGACTGAACTGTTTAGAGCACTTTTGAAAACCTGACCGTAGAACTAGAATACAGGGACTGAGCTGTTTAGAGCACTTTTGAAAACCTGACAGTAGAACTAGAATACAGGGACTGAGCTGTTTAGAGCACTTTTGAAAACCTGACCGTAATATGAAGGGACTGAGCGTTGCCCGATTAGATAACTAAATGGAAGGCATTCATAATGAAACACAAGGGACACAATTTTAATGTAGCCAATAGATTCAGCTAACATGGGAGGTAAGAATGTTTTTCTTCACAAGGATCTGTTTGAACAACTGGTTATTGTTTGGTTGGGGTGGGTGGGGCGTCCCACAACAAAAGGTAAATCACTAGGAGTTGGTGAACATAGAGCTGTTGTAATCTGTGAGTGGGGTGGGGGGAGGCAGAGGAATTATTGAATGGCACTGTTTTAGTACGTGTGAACGGAAATATTTTACATGTGAAATGTCACGTGGGGGGAGTAGATATTAAAACTACAATAACAAGTATACTGGGTAGTTATCTTAGGATAGTGGTACTCTGATGGTAGTTCTGTGTTACTAATGGTACTCTGGTGGTAGTTATGATGGAATTACTAATGTACTCACTTGGAATCAAACTCTGCTATCAGCAAGGGATCCAAAATATTGTCCGTTGGCTCCCATGTGCTCTGTCTGTGAGAGAGAAGAAAAAAACATTAGGACGGGGAGGACACTTCAACGACTAATACATTTTAAGACAAGTTTTATAAAAACACCAGGACAATATTTTACAAATACAGTAGGACAACAATGTTTTTACAACACAGTAGGACATTATACATGTAACGGAGGACAATATTTTACAAAAACAGATAAATAATCACAATAATAGAACAAGACAACATCAAAAGCGTGAGATAACAGTGTATGTTGTAGTATTATTTTAAATTGACCGCGAGCAAAATGTACATTTGTCAGTAAGTGTCAAGTGTCGACTTGTTACTAACAGACTAGTCACTTTCTTGATTCTGATAAATTAGATAATTGTCTGAATATTTATGATGTTGTATTAAACATGAACGCCTCACAACAGCTAACCTGGATACAAGGTTAGGGAGATGGTATTACAACCAGGATACAAACCCAGGGAGATGGCATTACAACCAGGATACAAACCCAGGGAGGCGGCATTACAACCAGGAAGGTAAGACTCAAAGGCAGCTTACGCATCAAACTAGTGATGGTTAACATTAAACACACAAAAAGGTTACCAGTAGGCCAAAGCATAAAATAAACACCAAATGCAAGACTCCTGAAAGGGGGGCACTTTTAACTGAACCCATGAAAACATTGAACCTTCTCCTTGCCCCCCCCCCCCCCCTCACATTCCTGATAGATATACTGTTACAATACAGGACGTAATCCCCGAGAGCCTAGTTGCACGCCTCAGTGAACACGAAAATAACCTAATCGTTTCAACCTTGGCAAGCAGCGAGTTTCTCCCTCCACCTGCCCGCCCCACCCTTATTCCCCCCCCCCCCCCCACGGGTTCACTAAAGTCTGTCCTAGTGTAATCCGGCTACCAACGTGTTTTTCTCCGGGTTATCAGAGCAGAACTACTCTCCCGATACAATCTGAATGGTGCGCTCTATAATTAAACCTCTTCAAGTTCTATCCCCATTCCAACCCCCGGGGGAGGGAGGGACGGGGCGACCTGTTGTGGTTAAAGGAAGTCACCGCGACCTTGAAGTGGTTGTGGTTTTTGCGGTTACACCTGGACAACGCCCACACACCACACACGTTTGGATGTGGTCTCAGGTGGGTTTCGTGTGGTTTCAGTGACGTCAGACGGTGGTATTGACAGAAGGGGGAAGGGAAACACTACATAACGAAAACGTCAAAAAATTGATGTTTTGTGACTTTAAAGTTAAAGAAAAGAATTTCTTTTTAACTTGGTTGTGATGGTTTTCTAATCAGATCCTTTTGATTTAAGCGGGATTTTAAAATGTATTGGTAATAAAAAAAAACAGACAGGCCTACAAAGCTAGTTAAAGTCTCTGCAGTTGGGGTATTATACCACATTCAAATACAGTAATCTGCTAGATTTTTCACCATACTTAGCTGTTCTTGCAAGTGCTACCAACGTTAAGGCATCACTAGCTGCTATACGTCTTATCTTATCCAGAAATCTTGTCTAGATACCACACAAGTAAACACTACTTAACTAACAAGTAGCTATGACGACTACTTAACCCCACCCCCCCCCCCCCGTACCAGTAGCTATGACAACCACTTGACCCCCATCCCATAAATAGCGAACGTTGGTTATATCGTAACTGCTGACAGTTTTAAAATTCGGCCGAGGGCGAGATGAGTTTCAACGGGTGACAGATGGTTGTTTTTTTGTTTTGTTTTTGGCGCGTAATAAAAACAGATCGATTTCGCGATTGTGACATCGTGTGCAACGTGTCACATGTGCTGACACGGCACTTTTGTGTTAACATCTGGTACAGTTGGACTGAAATGTTGATACAATCATTGAGGCTTTGGGATCAGAGGTATTGGACTTGCGTGAGCAGATGTATTAGCCCTTGATATACCACACATGTGGGTCGGAGCTACGTCATGATGGTCTACAGGAGATATCGCAATGCCGTATACGTAGCTATGTATGTGAAGTTCTTTTCTGACCTAACGTCCCATTTGATAGATGAAGAAGAGTTAATATGTTGGTGTGGTTTGCACTATTCCCAACCGCTTATACTTTCTCACCTAAGTCAGGTACCCATTAGAGCTGAGTGGACTCAGAGACGTCCTACAGTCACAAGTTACAATCGAGATCCAATATCGATATCTTCCGGATAGAAGCTAAATGTTCTACTATTCGACCACAGCATCCCACAGCATGTTTGTTTACTGTTTACTATCCTAACTTCTCTGAACAAAGTTAACTTCGTGACTATTCTGGCGAATTTTTGAATTGCCGTATGTACATGAACTGTCTTTTAAACGCTTCTTATTGACGTCAATTGTGTACACTTTCACAATGTTAACCTAACCATACAGACCCCACACTTACATCCAACTGTTTATGGTCTACATATACCATCAATCAAACATTAAAATTAATTTTCATAAAATTATTTTTTTTAAAGCCGAATTGTAAAAATGTCAGACTGCTCGCATACAAAGCGCATAAGTCACATGACAACATCCATTGTCAGGCATGACAACATCCATTGTCAGGCCTAAGTCACATGACAACATCCATTGTCAGGCCTAAACACCGGGCCATGGGACGACAAAGACACAAATTTGGCGGCCACAACTTAGCGACTGTTGGCCCAACCCAACCCGCCTTCTTTCTGACTGCCCTCCCCCCATCCCGCGTGTTTGGTCACCTCGACCTTCACCTCCTACGTCCAAGGTCACGTTTCCCAAACAACGAAGTGCTTGCAACCATCTGTCGTTGACCGTACAATGCTGACCTATCAGGGAGTTAACGGGGAAATTGACGTGGCTCTAGCCTCCCTTTTGACGAGTGCGTTAGGACGTTATTAAGTTTGGCCATTGTAGGCGGCTCACGGGGGATAATAAAACACCAATTACTTTTAATACAGGAACAAATTACAGCCGGCTCCACGACATGGGGGAATAAAGATTTAATTGCCTAGATTAGGAAATTACGGGAATGGGAATATATTAATTAATTACTCAGAAGGCCATTGCTCTGAAATTTAAAACTAATTAATTTTTTAAACTGTAATTACAGTCATTTACTTAATCTACAGGCTTGATTTACTGTAATTTACAGAAGCAGGTGAACTCTACTTCATCTTTCCTTAAAACTCCAATCAGGTGTGTCTCTAGCAGTGTCGTGTAGACCCCGCCCATTGTTCGATTGATTGAGTTGTTTTTTTTTTGTCTTGTTTAGCCTCCAACCCATAAACAAATATTGAATCGTGTTGGGGGTTGGAAAAACCCAGCGCCAGATAGAGGAAACATCACCGGAAGTGGGCATTGTTCAAAAATATGCTTTTTGTCGCGGACCGCTTTTGTCGCGCACGGTTTTTGTCGTGAACTTCTTTTGTCGCTCAACCTATGGTCACACGGCTGATCGGTCCATTCATGAACATCCCCCGCCCCCCCCCCCCTCAACACTTCCTTGCAGACGATCTACGGGTGACCTCCCGTGACCTCGACGATCACGGGTTCATTCATAAACGAGCAGACGAGCAGATAAAGACCAGGAAAAGACAACAACGGAGATGGTAAAAAAAGGTTGGAACACAAAAGTTGTCCTTCAGGACCATCGGGGCTGGTCCTAACATTTGTCAGGAGGACCTCGTTGTGGTGTCCTTACAGTCGTCTGTCCTAGTGGCAAAATATGGGATGTGAAACCATTTGGTACTGATGGTAAACGTCAAGGTTAGGTTAGATGACGTCACGATTGGGTTAGATGACGTCAAGGTTGCGTTCAATGACGTAACGTTTAAAGTTATATGCGGTCACAACAATGTCAACAAATGGCGCTCATTCACGGTACCCTAAGTTAACCTTTAAGCGGAAGTTGTGTGTTAAAAGAGAACTATTACTTCCTCGACCAACGGCCTCAGTTTATTGTGGTGATAACTTACGCTCTAGCCGCCTCTTTGTGTGCGAGTTATCGCGCCTAGAGATAATTAATTACATCAATATATTCAAAAAACCAATTAACGACAGGCGGATAATGCGGTCAAGGCCACAAACATGGAGTCCCGACCTTCACCTTGGTGAGTTGTTTATCTGCCTGTGTTGACCGCCCCTCTCCCCGCCCTTCAGTATTCACGACCTCCTGTTTTCCACCCACCACACCCCTCCCCTCCCCGGGCTTTGGACTGGATTCGTTTGTTTTAATTGTGTTGGCTGTATTAAAAATTTAACAAGTCACATGTCCTTCAGGTCGCGTTAAAAACAAACATGGGTGAGCTGGTTGGTCAGACATAAAGGGGTGTTTACTGGTAAGTGTACACGTCCTAAGGTTTACTTGTAAGTGTACACGTCCTAAGGTTTACTTGTAAGTGTACACGTCCTAAGGTTTACTTGTAAGTGTACACGTCCTAAGGTTTACTTGTAAGTGTACATGTCCTAAGGTTTACTTGTAAGTGTACACGTCCTAAGGTTTACATTTTACTTTATAGAGCATACGTCCTTAGGTTTACTTATAACTGTGTATGTTATAAGGTTTACTTTCAAGTGTATACGTCCTATGGTTTATTTTCAAGGCTGTAGATGGAATATGGGATGGGGTAGTTCAAGGTGTAGGCATATACATACGCCACATAGACTGGTATGGGGGCAGAGTTTCTTCCAGGCATCTCTTCGGGGGGGGGGGGCGGCGGCGAAGCCCCCCCCCCCCCCCCCCGAAAAATTTTTACCGCCCCCCCCCCCCCCCCGAACGAAATGAAATTTATATAATTTATATAGAAAATATATACTTTTAACAGTGTCCCCCCCCCCCCCCCGAAGAAAGTTTACCGCCCCCCCCCCCCCGAAAATTTCAAGTGCCCCCCCCCCCGGAGAAAAAAGTCTGGAAGAAACACTGTATGGGGGCTCAAGTATTTAGGCATATGATCACTATTCTTCTGAAATTTGTAAACTTAAGCGTTAGACAAAACAAAAAGTATCGTCCAATCTAATTTGATAAGGTAGAC